CTATAACCATTTAGAAATAAACAAAATGGTGTAAGATGCAGTAAAGCGTCGTGATGACGTTCGATTAGATTGTCCTTAAGTATTGATTTAAACTAATAAAGAAACATGGCAATTCAAATGTATGAAACTTGTGTTTGTGGCATCCATAAACTAAAGATGACACTTTTCTTAAGATCAAGTTTTCGTTAACATTTGTTTTGTAACATTTTATTTCTTTTTTCTGTTAACGGCATATTTTTATCGAATATTATGGAGAAAAAGCTTTATACACCGGAAATGTTTCGTATTAAATTGTTTACTCAGCTTGATGCACTAAACGAATCTGAAAAGTTCACACGTTTATTTTTAAGAAACCCTCTTTTGGGATCATAAACATTTGCTCTGTTACGAACACATCAAATAAAATTTCATCATTATGCTCTAAAAAAATGTTACCGTAAAATTTAAAAAAAAAATAAAGAAAATAGTTTTTTAAAAAATAATACGTGTTACTGTTATCTGTTTTGATGAAATATTACCCTTTTTTTCCTTTCTCCCTCTTTCATTCCTTTCAGCAGACTTATTGCTGCATAGAATAATTTCACTTTAAGATTCAAGGATATCCGTATATCTTTCTTTTAAAGCATACACTGCTTCATACCTTCCTGCCCAACGGGTTGGTTTTAAAGATTTGAGTGTTTTTCATTTTCTTTTGTTAGTGCCTAGAGATCTTTCCATCCTATTATATTATTACCAAAATTTTCATAGATACTTTGTACTGTATCAAAAAAGTTTGTTACAATCCTGTTTAATTGCACTGCGTCTTTCACAACCAAATTTAAATTATGTGAAGCACCGTGGACAAAATAAGCACAAGGAGAAATTTCTCGAATTCTTTTTCATATTCCAGAGTATGAACATACCGCCATAATAGCCTTGACCACGTCACTTCTTAATATGTAAACCTTTTCTGGTAAATGATTTTGGAGTCTGTTCTTGAAATCCAAGATCCGATTGATCTTGGACTTCAGTAAATGGCGTGAAAGTATTAAAAATAAAATTTAATAAAAAGTATGGGAAATAATCATGTTCATAATGAAACACATATAAAAGATTCACCAGTTCAATCTATAAGAGGGGTTTAAAGGAATCAGATGGGCGGACAATTCGGCTAGAATGCATTTTCATAAGAAAAGCATGTGAAGCAGGCATCATGGAAATTCTCTTCGAAGACTGCGACTCAGGTTTTGAACTAGTAGAGGGAACAGACAGCTTCACAGAAAGGGAAGGTATAGTGCGGCTTTGAGGAGAACTCCTCCAAACTGAAATTCTGGGGCTGTCTCATAGCGATATTGATTTCGATAGATTAGCAAGCGATATTGATTCGATAGATAAGCTGGCGATATTGATTTCGTGACCACATCCATCGCGGCCCCTGTATCCAACTTAAATTTAGCAGCAATTTGATCCTTTTCTAAACTGTCACCAATATCCCTATATTTCAATTGATTAGTAGCTTGTTCACTAGCCCTACGAATATTGATAGCTTTATTTAATGTTAGTTCGCTTTCGGCTAGCAATCTTTCCTTAATCTTATCAGAGCAAATTCCTCTAACAATTTGATCAGGCAATAAGTTGTCTTGCAAAGTTTCAAAATTACAATCACCAATTTTGGATTTCAGCTTAGTAAAATAAGAATAAAAAAGTTTCGTGCTTACCTTGTAGACAACTAAAAAACAAATAACGCGTATACGTCTCGTTCCAAACAGGCGAAAAATAGTTGTGAAACTTGAGTTTAATCAATGATAAATCCTTTTTCTGTGCTACTGTTTTTAATTCAAATGTAATATATAGCAGCTGGACCTTTTGCTGACATACATATCGCTAGCAGAATTTCTGGCTCTTTGCCATCCAGTACCTGTGGTAAACGTACGAAACTTGAAGCACTAAGAGTCGTCCGGCATGGTACCAACACCACAGTGACACCATGCAGTATTATTTGTTAGCTATCATGATGTAATGATACCTGTAACGCTAATTAAACTAAGTAGGTTAAGACACAAACATTTTTATTAACAGCCATAAACGAACTGAAATTCGATTCACTTCCAATCTCACAGTCCTTTGTAACTACATAAGGCAATTTATTCTGTCACGTGTTTGTGGAAATATCCAGTAAAATCGACAGTACGCACAATCAAGCTCTGGCGAGTGACTCAAAGTACCTTCTTATTCTTAGACCTGATTTTGTAATAGCAAAGAGTAGTAACTGTTTGGGAAGCAACGTCTGCTTTGATCTACATTTTTTGGGGGGAATGAGCCCCCTAGTTGAATCGGATCAGATTCGCTCCTCTTTACTAGAGAATTTTTTTTTTAATTAAAAATTTAACTGACTATTTTGGTTTTTTTTTTGTTCCTTCATTTTTTTATTTCTGGTTCTTTTCGTTTAAGCCAAGAAGTCACCGGAGGTAAATACTTCCAGTCTCGCATTCCTTTGTATTTACATAAGGTAATTTTATTCCGTCTCATGTTTGAGGAAAGGCTCACATTAAGGTTGGCAGTACTCACAATCTAGCTTTGGCGAATAATAAACTCAACCATCTAGCTTCAACCTCTTCTTGACTTAACCTAGTACCTTCTTATTCTTAGACGTCTTATTCTAGACGCTTTGATCTGCATTTTTTTGGAATGAGTCCTCTGGTTGAATCAGTCGGATCAGATTTAATAATGGTTAATTTTGTATTAGAGATTATTAGGGGGGGGGGAGTTTTCATTATTCAGACAAATTTTAGTAATAATCAAGGACAAATGCACAACTTTAAACAGGAATATCTACAGAATTTAAATCATTATGTTCTTTCACTCCTCTTCACGTGCCTTTTCCTTATTTATAAATAATCCTATGAAGATAAATTTAAAAGTCCGCTTACAAATATCAACAATATATATATATATAACAGACAATTTTTTTTCTTCCTTCATAATTTATTTCTTGTTCTTTTGTTTGTTTAAGCCAAGAAGACATCCGAGATGAGATGAAATTTTTTTGTATTTTCTTAATTATTTTTTTTTTGTTGTTTCTTTTCAGTTGTGCTTAAATATGAACGTTTCATTTTCCTATAGTTTATTAATAAAATCATACGTTTTACTGGCTCGATTTTTTTGAGAAAAAAATTTGTTTTACTTCTTTTATTCTGAGCAATTTAACGCTAAATGTAAGATGATAATCACAAAATTGCAGCAAAAATATTGAAACCGACTCACTGAAAGTAGAAAATAGCAAACCAATTTTTAAACTGCAAACTCATGTATTGAGTTATTTTGTACAAAGTTATATAATTTGATTAATTTTGTGTTTATTTGCAAATTGTAGTGAGCATTTGATACAGTTTTTATTCCCCATTTACTTGTGCAGCTGTAAAAAGTAGTTACTGAACATAAGATTTTCCACAAAGAAAACATTGTTATGAAAATTCTGACAATACTCAATCTTAAAACATGATCTTCAAAACCATTTATTTTAATGTTGCTGTTTCAGCCCTCCCTCTTTCTACATTTAGATGTTTGGTCAAACTAACACGTTCAATATTAAAATAAACCTATTATTTTATAGTTTTAAAGAAGCATTGCCTTCAGATACAAATATTTATATTATTAATATACAATTACAGGCAGAACTATCTTGTTCCTGAAAGAAGAAAAAAAATCTTTGTCATGAAACATTTGTGCTACGAAAGAACGCTAAACAAAGTGTTTTATAATGGGACATCTGTGTAGAAAATACTATTTCTGACAACCCTCATCATAATGAATGTGAAACACACACATCCTAGTCAAAACAAACTTATGGTTTCCTTTCTCGCTCCTAACATTGAAATGTCCTCATCGATAGATTTATTGCCTTTACAATTCAATTGAAACACTCTCCTCCTATTGTTTAAGTAATACTTTGTGACCATTCTCTGAACATCCGAAGACTGACACCGGGGAACAGATTTTTTGTTGCATTCAATGCAAATGCTTAACTCGAGTGTCGTGATTTTAAAAGTGAAATTAATTATGCTCCTAAAGCTACAGATTATTTTTTTAAATTTTTATTTGTAGTCCATTTTTTGTCGAATGTACTAGTTTAAAAACGTTTTACATAACAGGGAATCACATAAATGTTGCGACAAACTTGTAAGGGAGGGTGTCAGTGTTTAAATTGCAAGTCGTCGTTCGAGGCTAGGAGCCCATAATGATCTATTCAAAGGCACACGAAGATACGGAAATCAACGATACAAAAGTATCTAAAATCTGTTTTAAAAATCTTATACAATAAAAAACCTAAAAAAATACGTTCCATTGTTATTTATGTTGGTTTATCCTATCTTTTTCGTAGACCTTTTTAATGATAGATTAAACGCAATATTGCTTCCCTCGGGTTATTGAAAGAGCTTACGTAAATATAAAATGCTTGCTTTTAGTTGTTTATAAAGAGTAAAATAAATTTTCTATTTGGTTAAACGATTCTGTACAGTGAGATCATTTGATGGGGGGAACTTAAACCAGAAATATTATGTTGAAGTATCGTGCAATTTCAAATAGTGTTCGTTTGTGGAAACATTTAAAATGAACCGATACTTTTTGTTATAATTTATTTGTATAAAAACTCCCAGAAATGTCAGTATGAGCGAATTGTAACTAAAAAACTTCCATTTGAAGTTTCTGTTAAAGATTTATCGGAACCGCTGTCTGCCTATGAGTGTAGAAGTTACTCTCTCGTCACTTACTCTTCCAATAAGATAAAAGATTTAAAAAAAAGATGAAATAGACTGTAATTTATCGTTATCTTTGGTTGATTACTTTTAGAGAATGGAAACTTGTTCTACCTATTCAATGGAGAAACGTTGATGATAATGAGGTCTAAAATCGAGAACCTTCTCTTAGTTTGTTGTTTCTTTTGCATGTGTCTGCATTGTTTTACAAAGGGGGGAAGCTTTTTGAATTGATATTAATTTTCCCCTTCTTCTTTTTTTCAGTCTCAGTCGTCTGTCGTAACCATTCACAATCTGAAGAGTTCTCGAGATGACGGAATCCTCTATCCTGACGATCAGCTCAATGATGTGGCCGACGACAGGGAACAGGTAATCCTTAAGGCTCCTGCAAAACTCAAAGAAAATTTTTTTTTTTTTTTAAGACTTTTAACATTAACAATATAAGGGAGTTGATGAAATTTCTGGGTAAATATAGTCCCACTAGTTTAGTTAATAGAAAGTTCGGCCCTCTTAATATTAATTTCTTTTTCTGTTTCAGCGAAACAAATACATTTTATTCGTTATAATAGTTATATAAAACAGTAGTAAAACATAGTAATATAAAACTCGTTTGTCTTAAGATAATTCCATGCGGAAAAATAAATAATTTTAAATAAAATTTGTTTCTTAATTTAATATTGATAAAAAGAGAAAATTTGAAGTTAAAGGTACATAAGTTTTTGCTAAATTTTGAACTATAATTGATATACTACAAAATTTAACTTTACGAAGCATTTTTGCTCAGAAACTATAACCAATTTCGTACAAACTATGATTTTCGAGCAAACTATGATTTTCGTCATTTATAATTGTATAGTTTAAGTAATTATTACGTGTAATTAATTGGCAACTAGTCAAATTTTCGTTTTGTGGCATAGCTAAGTTAAATGTTAACTTATCATAAAGTGTAAAAGTCTTTTTCTTCTTTTTTTTTGCTCTGAATATAAACAAAAACCGGTTCTGAAGCGTACGAACTTAAACTTACACAAAGCAAAGACCGGTTGAACCACTTTCCTAGCTTCGCAGATCACCTTACTTAGAGGGAAACATAAACATTCAAATGATAAACAGTTTAGAAGCTATGTCCTGTTTGCGTGGCGTATTATCTTAGAAAAGGCAAACTTCACAATTATAAGCAAAAAATTTTGGTTTCCTTAAATAGTTCTGGTGACATTTCCAATACGCAGTAAGTGAAATTAATGTTAAGGGGTCAAACTTTCGATAGCTGTATTTTCTAGATTGTTATTACCTCCCTTCCACATTCAGAATATCAAAAATCCAAATTCGTCCTCCGGGGTAGGGGGGTTATACTGCGGCTTTGAGGAGAACTCCTCCTGAATAAAAGTCTGGGGCTGTCTGCTGCTATGGTAACAAGTGAGAGCACACTTCTAATGGGGGTGTCGAGTCACTTTCTCACACTGATCTATGCAAAGATTCAAGACAAACTATTCGCCCCACACCCCTATTCGAATTGACTTTCCCTCGTAACCATGGTACCCGCCGCAACGCTTGACTGATGTCTGGAGGAGTTCTCCTGAGAGCCGCACTATATGTTTATTCAGTGGAAGTATGCTATTGTGTCTGAAATTATAGCAACTTAACATCGTTTAGTCTGCACTGATTAATTAACAAAACTCAATCCCTCATCTGTTTAATAGGTAAAAAGTTATTCTGGAATAGTTTTAGAATCGCAATATTTTTATGCTACGTTATTATGACACGTTTGACACGACCTGATTTGTGACGGTTTCATCTTTTAATCCAGATGATTTTCCAATCGCTTCTTGAAGTGAATATTGTTACGGATTTCCGTAAGGTTTTTAATATGCCGATATCTTTGAAACCCTAGTATAAATACACACAAATTTAAGTAATCACTTATTGAATACTATATTCGCGAAAATCTAATCGCAAATCACCGTAATATTTGTATAGCTTTTTCGTCACAAATCGCTACAGATTTCCACTTGTTTTTAAAATTCCTTTGTTCCCTTTGAATCATAATGCTGTTTCTATATGGGAATTTCGAATCGCGTAGTAGTATAATTTTTTCGCTCACTTAATTTAGGAACATTTTATATTTAATTCACGTGGTTTTGGTGATCGTTTTTTATTTATTTACGGTGCTTGCAGCTGGTCATTAAAAGCCCTCCTTTTCATTGAGGTATGGCTATTGATCACTTTTGTTAGAAAAATCAAAAATCATCTTTTTTTTTTCGCAAAAAAGTAATTTTTTCAGCACTGAAAAATTGTCTAATGCTCTACCATCATTGCCGTTTGGTCGAACTGACTTCTGTCGAACTGACTATTTATTTATTTTTCATTTATATAATTTATTTATTTTTGTATGAATTAACTTCCTCTAATGCAAAATTTTGCATGAATCCACTGAATCAGTTATAACCCTGAAAAAAGAAGTATAGGTATAGTCACATCCTTAGAGAAAATTTATTTCAACGCCATAAAAAAATCTTGTATTATTTTAGGCTAAAACTACTTTTTATTTTTTTTAATGACTGAAAACAAGACACTTTTTTATANTTTTTTTTTTTTTTTTTTTTTTTTTTTTTTTTTTTTTTTTTTTTAAATATTAAAAATATGACATTTTAGACCAAAAAGTTTAAAAATCTATGACGATTTCACCTGGAATAAGCCTTGTATATATTTTTGAAAACTATAACTTTACTAATCGTTTTTTTAATATCATACCTCATATATTTGCCAAAATAGACAAAGTTGACTGAACACCAATTTTTCACACAATTGAACCACAATCATCAAATCTAATCAAACCATCTGTTTCATGGTTAAAAACATTTTACAAAAATGAATTAAGGTGCAGAAACTTGGGTTATTTTTATGTGCAAAGCTTAAAGATCTCTTTACTTAATGGTAACTCTCTTTCATTTCTTTTAGTGTTACTATAAGAAAGTGTCATTTCTTAATGAAAAGTGTATTTTTTCCCCTTTCTTATTCACCTTAATGTGTTAATGTGGTTACTTTTTTTGTTGGAAACAATTGCAAAAATCACTTTTTTTTTGTTCTGTTTAAGTGGCTGCTACCCTTCCATTTATTACATGCTACAAATTTCTACTTGGTTTTTAAAATGCCTTTTTTTTTTTTTAATATTACGGCAGTCAAAATTCATAAAGGAGAAATACCAAATTTTTATTTAAATGTAAGAGTTTTGCGCATTTCGAAATCAATTTATACATTAGGCAAGCTTCTTGCACTGTTATAAAAACACTGCTCATATAAGAAATCTGCTTTTTTTTCCATCACAGATTCATAACTTTTTTCAGTCTCTGCTCGCTGTGCATATAGTTACTTGTTTTTGCTAAATAAATGAAGGCATATTAGAATTTATAGAATTTTTTTTTCCAGATCATTGCAGTGTTTGATGAAAATTATTCCCCCATCCCACAGTATAGCTGTGGGGGGGATGTGACGAGTACGAGCTCTGTGTATACGGGTAGTCCAGATCTCTTTAGTGTAGAAGTGGGATCGCTCTGCAGCAATAACAATGTAGACACCATTGAAGATCATTTGCCTGGTTTGTATTTCCCATTTTTATTCATGATAAGACTTTTTCTAGGGGGAATTGAATTTATGAAACTACAAATTTGGAAAAGTTCTTGAAGTAATTCCATTTTGAAGGAAATTGGTTTGCATTTAAGGGGCACATTAGCAGCTGCACATGATGCATTTTGTGTAATCTCACACTTATGGACTTAAATTTAATAATATGAATTATTTTATGTTAATCAAACAGTTGCAAATAGTTATATTGACTTCAAATCAATTGCTTTTGCCATTTTATTTTTGATAGAAATTATTATTGTATTTTGTTTTCAATATGTGGCCATTTTGTTAATAATTATTTTAAGCAATTAGAGATTGTTGTTGTTGTCTGCTGTAAAACAATTTCTAAACATTTTCAGGGATTTATAAACTTATTCATTGATTTGACCATTCACTAAATTGCCCTGCAATGACTCGTGACTTGATAATCACCCATAAACAAATTAATAGCTATTTATTGTTGACTCATTGTTAATACATCTATTCACTAATTCATTGATTTATTTCCTTTCATATCTTATTCTGTTCACTCCCTATATTTAAAATTGTTCTTGATAACAGTTATGATGAAGTGAAATTGTAACAAAATGTTAATAAAGTATACTAGTTTAAAAATAACAACTTAAAATAAATTAAAAATGGCCTCATATAAAATACAATTATAAAAGAAGGGACGGTTGTCATAGTTATAGGAAAATATTAGATGATTATTGCTGTAAAATAATTTTTGGAAAAAGATTAGATATTCTCTACCCAGACTAATATAGGTATATCAAACTATATACACTGATGGATGAAAACAAGTTAAAAATATAAAAAAAGAACAAAAGTAATGCCCTAATAAGGCATCATATGATAAAGCTCAGCTCTACATAATTTGAAATTGTATGAAACTTTGAAAACTCATTTGAAAAATATCAATTATATTATTAATATTAATGTTGTTGTTTTTTTCATTCAGGTATAACACCCCTGCAAGTAAGAAGGGGTAGTGAGCCTGCCCTCAACTGTCTCTTCCCTCCTATCTCCTCCTCCTCTACAGATCCCAATAACAAGAGGTGGTCAACAGCAGTAGTCATTAATCCTCCAGAACATCAACATGATGCAAATGTATGATTTATTGCTTTGTTTTTTCAAAACCTTATTGGGGATTTTAGAAATATATACTGAAAACAAATATTCTTTTTTTTAAAACTGTTAATAGAAGTTTTAACCTGATTGTATGGAAAAAAATTAAGTTCCTAGAAATTTAGGTGGAAACTCTGCTATAAGTAAATTTTATTTCATTTTTTATTTAATCTAATCTAAAGTTCTGCACACTTATTAGACCATACATTATTGAAATTTTTTTTTTTTAATGTTTGCATATTTGTAGTTATTACACACCTATGTTTTTTTATATTTTGAATTAAATATTTTGACTATTTTGAATTAAATATTTTTAGGAGAACGGTGTTGATGAGAGTGTCTCTCCTCTCGAAAGCCTCGATCTAAATGGAGATTCCAAAATGTCTTCTCTTTCTTTCTCGAGGAGCTCTGGCAGGCTCTCCATCCTGGGAAACAATTCAGAAACACACCGTTGGGTGGAGGCAGCTGACAGGCAGTTAATGAAGGTACTTCCTTTTTGTTTCTTCTTTAATTAAAATTCAGTTTCTTAATACAAAAACCTTTTTCTACTTATATTTCCTTAAACTAAACTGAGTATCGCAACAGCCCATTGAGGGCCAAGGCCTAATGTGCCCATCTCAGTTTTCTTGACCTTGCGCTCTGGAGTGCAGGATCAGATGTTCCGATTAGGTGATCTGCGGAACCCCAGTGTTTAGTTCCCAAGCATGCCTGGTACTCATTTATCGACCCACTGAAAAGATGAAAGGCTGAGTCAACCTTGCCCGTCCCGAGGATCGAACCTAGGACTTGTGGCGCGAAGCTCTACCACTTAGCCACCAGGCGTCATATTTCCTTAAAACGTTTAGTTATTTAATATTTTGCTTTCTTAAATTGTATGAGTACTGTACTTTTTTTTTCTGAGAAATATCTTGTTTTTACATGAGAACTTTCTTTGCACTGCTGTTTGTAATGATATTTTTTTTTCAAATAATAAGAAACATGGTTATTAAATCAGAAGTGCAAACTATTATGATTTGTCTGTAATTATTACAATTTTGTAGTCAAGATTATCTTACGGTTGAGTAATACCAATTGTGGTTTTTGAGAATTTTCATTATAAACTGTTAACCCCTTAACTACTAAGAATTATAAAATTTTATTGTTTGCAGTGAATATAACATAAGCCTTTTTTTTTCAGGACTACAATGAAAATTTTCATTTGAAATCACCTTCACCTGAACATGGGGATGAGGCTGATAGTGATACATCTAGTATGAGTGACGAAAGGTAAGGAGTGATGAGATATAACCTCTAGATTTTTATTTCATGTAGTGAATGGTCGCCAAATCCATTGCAAGATTTTATATATTTATATTATGAATTGTTTCTATCTAAAGTTGCCAGTCAGTTGGAAAATTAATTATATTTTTAAAAAAAACAGTTTATTCCTAACTGAATTATGAAAAAAAAAGAACTATTTGTGTTATGAAAAATAAGGGTTAGTAAATTTTTTATAACTGCAGTTTAATTTAGTTAGCAATTTAGGATAATTCACATGAATAATAAGAGAAAATTAGAAGTAAACTAATTTGGATAAATTTAGTTAACAAAACCATAAAATATACGCCAAAATAAAACAGAAAACACTGAGCTGACTGAAGAATTTGCAACAATTATTTTAGATCTATAACTTTTAAGACATAAAACTTCATGTTTAGCGATTTCTCACATCTCTATGGAACAACAGTGGGATCTTTAAAAGTAATAACAAATTGCACTTTGTTAAATCAGATTTTAACCCTTTTAACTGCATTGCATCTACAGTGCATAGAGAAAAAACTAACTAGTCTCCGAATCTGTTACACTGCCTTGATTCATCTTCATTTCCTGTTTGGAGAACCTTCGCCCCAATGCAACACTTTAAGGTTTTACATACAATTCATCACATTTTAATAATTTGCCTATGTTTCTTAGATCTGTTTTATTGCTGGGGAAATTGTTAGGTGACACATGTTATTTTAACATTTTTGCGTTTTCTATGTGCAAATGGTATTTTATCTTTCACATAACTGTTTTATAATGCTTAACATTTTCATTGAGTTTTATCCACTTATGAGTTATTTACCTTTAAACTGTTTTAGAGTATTCACCATTTTATTTGATTTTATTCACTTTTGAATGCACTTGTTTTTATCATGTACTGTTTTATCAATTTCAAGTGTTTTGTAAGAGCAATTTATTGTACATATTTTACTTTTGGTTTATATTTAAAACCTTATGTTTGGCAAAGCATGTGCTTATTTTGACCTTATGTCATGTAACTCGACAATAAAAGTCAAGATAAATAATAACATACTGTTAACTATAGTATGATAAGTTGTACCATAGATGAGATATATTTAATATGTAGACCAATGATATAAAAAAAAATGAGTGCTTGATTCAGTTACATCATGAACAAATTAAAAATTAGTACTCTCCCTAAGTAGGTAGAGCCTATCCTAGATACATGAGCATCATGTGATGCAAATAATGGTCGCTGAAATTGTTTGTCAGTCTTAGATAAAAGAAGTAAATTACCAGGTGAAGCTGCTGCTATGAGGCACACTGGATATCTCATCTGAGACTCAGCTCTTGATTTTATTTCATTCAACAACAGGATAAAAATACCTTGTAGTTATGAGAGTCTTGCATAAAATCATTTCTGCTTTCAAAAATCGTATAAAGCATAGTTTATATAAATTCACGCAGACTGGAAATAACTCTTGCTTAGAATATATAGTAAAAAAAAAAAGCTGACACTTCCAAGAACAGAAGAATGTCATTAATGGCTATGACTTTCTAGGACTGGATAGTTTATTATGTATAACTTTGAGTATTTTGCATTTTTAACTAAAAGTTTAACAGTGTTGGTTGCAGGATTTTCTTGAATCGCACAATTCTCACACAAAAAAGCCTGCAATCATCCACCTACATAGTCAGGAAAAGTCTGAAATCTCCCTAACAAGATGCCTTATTTTTTAGCTGATATTAAACAAAGTTTGAAGGTGTATCGATGAATCGCAGATAATAATAAAAAAGTATGCATTACTATGTAAAGCAAGGTAACCACACGTCCTTTGGACAATCTAGTGAGAGAAAAGGTGGATTTCAAAACCAATATTAAAAAAAGGTATAAAACGAAAAGCGATGATAGGGGAAGAACAACGTAAAAGAATTCAAAATCATGAGTCATCAAAAGGGAAGAAAAGAAATCAAGTGTTTCACTAACAAATTTACTCTAATGGAATCCTTTCCAAGTAATCTGATCCTTCATTGCTTGAGTTATGATAAAAACAGGTTAAAATTGAAATATTTATTCGAAGCTTGTTAAAATTTTAATTAGTGTTACTATTGAAATAATTTAGGAGACAGGATGCGTAGTGTCTCTTTAAAAAGTGCTTATTTTCGCTTTTTGAAAGCTCTTAAAGGTGCATTTTTCTTTGGGTGTTTTTTAAAAGTGCTTAATTTTCCCTTTTCCAAAAGGAGATATTTTTTCTTTACCTAATGAAGTTATTTTTTGTTGAAAAATTTAACTATGCACCCTAATAGAATAATTTAGTACAGAAAAAGTGGAAACGCATAGGACTATTTACTATATGAGAAAAAAAAGCTTCTTTATATTGTTGTGTTTTTGTTTTGTTTATCCCTCATTATTTCTTTTATTGGTAATCACAGTTTCATTTTTTAAATGTCCTTTTTCCGAGTGTCATTTGAACTTTTTTTAGCACTTTTTACTGTCTGCAAACATTTTAATTCACATTAATGTCTGGTATAATACAGCTCTATTTCTTTGATTAACTTATTATTGATGACCATATTTACACTTGATGTCAAAATTGTGAAACCTTAACCCTGGCAGACAAACAGGCTATGTGCTTATTTTAACCCTATGTAAAGTCACTACTATATATATTTAAGTTTAGTTATTAAAAAAATAAAGAATTTAATATTTTACTCACACATTATTTTCTGCCATGAATTAGCAACTATATTTTGCATTATAACAATAATAATGTCACTGAAATGAAATTGTATTTATAATAATAAGCAAATAATAATTCTAATATTTATTCACAGGGAAAAAACCATAATCCTGAAAAATGAAACTGGCCCTCTAGGCATTCATGTTGTTCCAGATTATGACAGCAGTGGAAGGTATTTTTTTCTCTTAGTACATTCTAAAGCATGTATTCTCAAGCCAAACTCTTTTTTGCTCATAAATTAAATTTTTATTCATCTATGCATTTTGTTATAATTATAATTTAACATAAATACAAAGTTCTTGTGATGTCTCTTAGAGTATTCTTGTAGCAATCTTTTATAGCAATAGATGGCGCTCTCTTTGTAAAATGCAGAGTAAGCTTAATGTAAGGGTTAGTCGAATATAGACCACCAATTAGAAGCATGTCATGAAGAAAGTATTATTATTGTTTGTTAAATATCTATTGCCTTCATGTCGTTAGTTGCCGATTTAGTATTAAAAAGAATAAGTTTGGTGAGGAGAATGGAGTAAATTTATTTTGTATTAAATTAAAAATTGACAAGATGAAGGCTATAGAAAAACAACAATGACAATACTTTATTCATGATGTGCTACCATTGGTGGTCATCATATTCAAACTGCTGTTACATTATTAAGCTTACTCTGCAATTCAAGGAGAGCAATTTCCCATTGAAATCCATACATTGTATTTCAAGATTCAGATTTTTTGCATTTTTGGAAAACAAAATTCACTTTTATCAATAAAAAAAAATTTGTTTTATTGCAGGGACACAGGTCTGGTCATCCAGGGCATTGAAGCAGGTGGCCGAATAGACAGGGATGGAAGGTTCCGTGTGGGGGACAGAATAACAGAGATCAATGGGAAAAGCCTCCAAAATGTGAGCTTCCAGACTGCCCAGGAGATATTCAAGAGTGCCCTAAAATCTTCTCAGATCAAATTGGAATTAATACGGGGAGCCTCAAACCACCTGCAACAATCAAAGACTGCCGCAGTGCCGAAAAAGCCTCCTGCTCCTGTTTACCCCAGGGCGAACATTCCATCCCCTGAAGCCCCAAAGAAAGCAGAGGAGGAGTCTTCTCTTGTGGAGGGTGAAGAAAGAGGTGCAGGAATATTATTTTTGCCTATCTTTTTTAATTGTAAAATGACAAGTAATGAGAAACTAGTTCTAGTTAAACATATTGTATTACTTTGACAACTTGAAGCAATTAAATCATTCGAATCGATCTAGGTAATAATGGTTAACTTTTTTTTAAATAAACTATCTAAATAAGAGGGAGGTTTTCTTTAAAAGAATAAATAAAAGTACTGTATAATAAAGTTTAACTTTATGCAATCATTTTTTAAAAAAATTGTGAAAAGGGTGTAAGATATTAAATTTTATAATTTACTAGCAGTATTATACAAATAATTTTTTTAAGACCTTGTGTACAGATAAATTATTACAGCATATTTTTGAAATTGAAATAAGAAAAAAAAGTACTTGTATTAAAAAAAGAAAAAAGGCTTAGTTTAGTTAGAAAAAAATATTTGAATAATTTAGGTATTACAGTGCTTTTTGCATAAAAATGAACAAATCTCTTGAAGCAAAAATCAATTCTAATACTCTAAATGCTGTTACGTACCTAGTTTTTATTAACTCTGGCTCATTTTTTACTAGAAATGTTGACAAAAAATGGCATATTTTATTGTTGAGTGAGAAAATAAACTGCTTCTGGAATTGATTGTTGAGTGAGAAAGAAAAACTACTGTTGAAAAAACACAGCAAAACTAATATTTTTTGAAAAAGAAATTCATTCATAAAGATAAACCTGAATGAAAAGTGTTTATGGACATAGACACGTAATGCCATTAGTTAAAACATATTGATGTTTTATAATATGTTCAGAATTGAAAATAATGGAAAAACCAGAAAAGAAAACTAACAAATATTGATGCCTGTACTGTGTAGGGCCAAACCAGCTGAAATTTTACAGTCAAAAAGTTCCAACTTCATTTCAGGTAATAACATTNAACAAATTAAGAAAAACATAAAAAATATCTAACAAGTTTATTATAATAAGTGTTAAAGTTGAAATATGTCGTGTAAAAGTAACACACGTAACGAAAGAATCGCCCTACATTTAAAGATCAAAAATCAAGATAGTGTGGGGACCATGTCGTAATTACATATTATAATATTTTTTCTTCCTCTTTGAATTCTGCGATTGGTATTTCTTAAAGTAAGCCTCAAATGTTTTTTACTAATACAATGAAATTATACCATTGAGAAATTAAATAAATTTTTGATTATTTCTCCTTTTTAAATATAAAGTAACATATTTTTCTATTTCTAGCTGGAGGCATAAGTACAAAAGTTGCGACAGTGACACCCACCAAAAAGATCCCTGCTTCTGCTACTAGGCGATTGGCATCTGCTAACACTAGAAAAATTGGCAAAATGCTCACCATTGAACTCACAAAGGGTAAACTTTGTTAACTGTAAATTCAAAACTTTTTTTTTATATTGTTTGTTCCTATCTGCAGAGAAACATGACTACTTGCAGAGGTGCCAATTATTGCAATTTTTTTTGTAATTATTGCTATTTCATAATTAAGATGACGGTCTTACGGTTAAGAAATAAAACACTGCCTTTTTATTCATATTTCGTTTTGAAAAAGCTTAATTCGCTGTTTAAATAATAGTTACATACAGGTAAAATTATCTGTGTTTATAGCTTTAAATCTGATTACTATTACAAATATTCACTTTGTTAGAATTATTCTCAATTGGCTAAATTTTTCTTTCTTTTTGAGAGGGATATTAATAAATTTTTTAAAGTAATTTTTAAGCAAATACCTTTTTTAAAAAGCACCATTTAATGTTTATTTTCTTATTATTTTCTGGTTAAATATAGAAAAAGACTTCAAAGTTATTTGACAATTAATCTTCTTTTTTTTTTTTTTTTTTTTTTTTTTTTTTTTTTTTTTAAATATGCTTAGAGATTGCCTTTTTGCATGCCTTTAATTACAGTATAAACTACACATTTTTCTCTTATTTTTATAATGAGAGAGAATTACTTTTTGAAATATACTCATAAAATAGTATAAGAGTGTAATTTGAAAATTTTACGGCGCCCTTTCAAAACTCGAAGTGCCCTTTTCAGAGAGGAAGCACCCTACCCTTTTATATTCCTATGGAGAACTCTTTTAAATTATGATGCTTAAAGCACCATCTGTTGCTAAAATTTTGAACTTTTCATTTTCTTATGGTTTTCCTCTTTCTTTAATAATACTCTGTTTAAATGTGGTGTCATTCTGATCAGTTCTTATTTTCTATCGCATTATAAAATGTAATGAAGATATATTTAATCACTAAATATCATTTGCAGGTAGTGCTGGTTTGGGATTCAGTATAACAACTCGTGACAATCCTGCTGGTGGTAACTCACCCATCTACATAAAAAACATTCTTCCTAAAGGGGCAGCCATTGAAGATGGAAGATTGCTTCCTGGTGACAGACTGTTGGAGGTATTATCACCTCCTCCTATTTTAAATGACCATTCTTACGAGTATTGCATTGAGTAACTTTTGTTGCTTTCTTTCCTTTGTTTATAACAACTTTATCTTACAATGACAATAATTTCCCCTTTTTTCATCCAACTATTCCTTAATTCTACAGAGTAAAAGATGGTAACGGTTAAAATCATATTCGTTAATGGATACAGAAAATAAACTGTATACTAAAGTAAAAATGAAGAAATAGTCAATTAGGAAGAAAAAAAAAAGTATGATCTGAGTGAAAAATCATTCAAAAGTGTGACACATTTTTAATGTTTAAATAGTTTTAATTGAATTTGACTTTTTTTTTTTTGTTTGTATTGCAAATTTTGCACCATTTTTTGTATCAGCGTAAAAACAAAAGTACCCTGAGAGTTGTAAACAAACGACGATCTCATAACAGTTTTAGAAATGGTATAATATTGCGAATGGTAGAAGAGTTATAAATGTTGGTCTTCGAAAACATTTAATTGTGTCTTCTCAGTTGATAAAAATATCTTTATTATTAAATATCTATTTCTTTTATGAATGAATTGCTTTTTTTTTTTTTTCATTCAGGTCAATGGCACTTCGATGACCAGCAAAACTCAGTCAGACGCTGTTTCTATTCTACGTAACATTCCACTGGGAAAGACTGTGCAGCTCATAGTTTCTAGACAAGAAGCAGTCGAACCTGAAGTGGCTGAAGTCGAAAGCGAACCTGTAAATATTTTTAACCAAGCTCTTTCATGTTTTAAAACCAAAAAGAATCTTTTATATCTCAGATACTCGTGAAATTTTGCTTCTTGCACTGCCACCATACAGCTATTGATTTAAGAACTATTCAAAATCTATGTTTATTTTAGAAATTTTAATAGTAATTTAATATAATATTGTTACCATTAAACTAAGTTTTATAAAGAAGCTTATAAAAAGTAAATGAGAATGGTACACAGATTTAAGTACTTAATTGTCAATAATTAATTTATTCACCTTAAGATATTTTTAATTATACAGTCAAACCCCGCTATAGTGAACATGGTTTATAGTGAACTCCCGGATATAGTGAACGAAATGTTCGGTCCCTAGCCTTGCTATACACGTATAATGTTATTTTTTGTGGATATAGTGAACCAAAAAAGTGAGAAATTTGGATATAATGAACTTTTTTCTGTCTTCAACTGACTTTTTTTCTCCATATTTTTTGTAATAATTTTGAAATTTCTACTTCGAAATAAATACATATACCGATTTTTAAGACCATCTATAAAGGGGAATGTAGCGATAAGCATTTTTTCTTGTTTACTTCTTTTTATCTCTTTTTCCCATCCCTAAACAAACCAAGCAGATGTTTCCAACCCAGCAGATGATGAACCTGTAAGGTGTCCGTAGGATCAATACGCATTTTCTGTCAGAGGGAATGAGTAATTCTTCATTATTGGTCAAAGGGTTGGACACTAATATGTGCTGATAGGGCTCTTATTTCAACTCCTTTCTGCTCTCAGTTCAGTTGAAAAAATCCTACAAACAAGTGTCTCAAATTTAACTATGGCGAGCAGTAAATTTAAAACGTTCTCCATTGATGATAAAATGGCATAATCAGAAAAATTGAAAATGGATGCAATCAAGCTGATATTTGCAGGGAATATAAACCATCCAAATCTGCAGTTTGTAATATATGGAAAAATAGGCAATTAATAATTTCTGCTCATGAAAAAAATTTAGATGCCAGAAGAAAGTTGAGAAAAGCAGATCACAAGGATGTTGAAGAAGCATTACTGAAGTGGTTCAGCACTCGAAAAATCCGTAATCTTTCAGTATTTGGACAAATGTCGATAAATTTGCTAAGCAATTTTATGAGACTACTTTGATGTGCCCGAATGTCAGGTTAGACAGGTTTAAAAAATGGAATAAGAGAAATTCAGGAAAAATTATCTGAGAGTCTTGGATGTGTTTCCATACCTGATGCTGAGGATTACAATTTTTTTTTTGTACGCAAGACGAAGAGTAATGAAAAATAACACTTTTTTTGCTTCTACATAATATTTTTCAGTCATTTATTTGAATAATGTGTAATAAAATGGAGGAGTTTGGGAACCAATTAGTTAAATTGCCTACGTAACGGATATAGTGAACTCCCGGTTATAGTGAACCAAAACTTCGATCCCTTGAAGGTTCACTATAGCGGGGTTTGACTGTATAAAGTTCAATAAGTTATAAATGTTATTTAAAGAAATTGTATGGCGAAAAATTTGTTACACTCGCATGTGAAGTTTTTTTCTCCTTATTGTTACAATGTAATTAATAATTCCAAATACATTTGGTAACAGTCTACAAATAACTTGATCAAAACCTCTCGTTTGGCAACAAAATTGAATGTCCACTGTCTTGACACTATGATGTCAACAGTTTAAATGTTTGTATGGGGTTTATATATTTTACTGATTGGAATCTCACAAGCAAGAAATGCATGTTTATTTCCCCATGTAACCTCTTAAACTAATTTACTCAAATTCATTAAAATGTCATTTGGAACTTTTATCTATTCAGCTGTTTTAACTGTAACATTTGTTTCAAATTTTGAACCTTTTTCTTTACAGTGTGAATGGCGGTGAGATGAATTTTCTCTTGACTTAATTTTTTTAAAAAAAGTAACTTTCATGAAAGCATGCTTTAATTCTTTAGAGAAAACCTGTCATCATTGCATTCTGAGTGAAATTAATTACAAGAAGTTCAAGTTTGTTCTTCACCTAAATTGAGGACTCTTTCTTTTTGAATACTTATTTGCAGTATTGTGCTTAAGAGTGAATAACTCATTTTGAAACATTATGAAAGCTCATCCAGTTAGCATGACATGCATTCGATTTTCATGTGTTGTATTTGTGCATTTAATAGCAATGTAAATATAAAAATTTGTTTGCAATCATTTAGGTGCCGCCAAAGTTAGAGGATGAGAGCGGCATTTTTCCTTGGAAGTACAGAGAAATTCTGACCTTCCAGATCCCCTTGAATGAGTCTCATTCTGCAGGGCTCGGAGTCAGCGTGAAAGGAAAAAATGCGTCCACTCCCAATGGATCTGTCGATTTGGGCATCTTCATCAAATCCGTCATCCCGGGCGGCGCTGCTTCAAAGGTAATGACGCATATACAACAATTTATATTTCTCTTTCAGAATTTCTCGTGTGAGGCAACTGAAAATGTTCTGCATCTTGTTAATTCAACTATAAACAGTGAATATAATTTTTACCGATGAAAAACCTTTTGTTTTTTTATTTACCTAAGTTCTCTAAATGTCAGTCATTTGAATGCAGCTGTAATACTTCTTAATTCTAAATTATCATTATAGGATGGTCGACTACAAACAAATGATCAGTTGGTGAACATCAATGGCATTTCACTTCTGGGCATGAGCAATACAAATGCAATGGAAACATTACGTAATGCCATGACACAATCTGACGGCCCCATCAGAAATGCCATCATTCTCACGGTGGCGCGTCGCATCTTCCAGCCGCTCGAAGAGGAAAATCCACCCAGGCCAGAAGCATCTGCAGCTTCTAGAGAGAGGGTTAATGGCTTGGACTTGCAAATGAACACAAACTCTTTGGATTTGGAAACTCTTCAAAAGAACAATCCCGGACTTCCTGGCTGCAACCCAGTCGTTGAGAGACTCACTGGCCAGATCTCCTCAGAGAACTCTGCAACCGATCTGTACGGTTACATGAGGCGAGGAGGAGCTGAGAAGATAGCCCCCAGCATGGAGGAGTATTTCAAGCCCAATTATATGTCTTCCTTAAGTTCCAATCAAGCAGAGAATGTAATGATAGAAGGAGAGTATGATCCAACAGTCAAGAAAGTTGCAGACACACCCCAAATGAATGGCTCCACAAATAATTCTAGTGTTGCACCTGCTGGTAGTCAGTGAGTACACTTTTCATTCAATAAAAATTATTTTTGTATAAAATGAGTGCACATTTTAAAACAGGGCTGTGTGTATCAAAGGTACGAGGCTTTCCCACTGACTTTTGAAACAAAGCATCTAACTACAGCAGAATTTTATTGAAGAAGGGAAAACATGCTAAGATTTTTACCAAACCATAAAATATAGCATAAGCTTGACTACCTGAACAGGAGAAGCTGTAAATTCCAGATATTTGAGTGTTGAAAATAAATTTTTAATATCGGGGGGGGGGAGAATTCCACATATTAATAAAAACAAAGTATAGCATTAAAAAAAGACATATGCGAAAAACTATGATTGTTGTTTCTATTATAAAACTATAATAATTATTAAGATAAACAAAATACTGGGATTACAAAGTTTTAATAGATGATGAAAAGAAACTTACTAGGTGCTAAATTGTACAATATAGAACAATCACTATCGCATAACGTTGCTTTGTCATAATTTGATTTAAAATACCTAAATATTATTAAACAGCTTAATATCCTTACAATTAATTCAAAAAAACATTAGTAATAATTAAATAAAATAAATCTTGTTTTGCCCAAAATTCACAAAACAATCATGAATGCGTCCCATTTCCTTTTGCTAATTTAAAATTTTAATCTATCAAATGAGAGAGAGAGAGATAAACAACTAAAAGCCTTAAAATAATTAAAGTTTAAAATGTAGGTTACAAAACTGCAAATGTGTCCCCAATATTTTTTTTCTTTTATGATTTTCTGATTCTTGGCTAGGCTGCTTTTGACTATTTTAAACCAGTTTTGAATGTAAATTCTGAAATATATTTTTCCATATGCACTCGCGGAGATGATAAAAATTGCTTTTTTTCTGAAGAATGTTGTCACTTACAGAGGAGGTTATTTTTAAATCTTTCTATTAATATATTGATTTTCTAACTGTTTGGTTTCAAAATTTGTTTTTGCATAAACTATCATGCTGACAAATATGTTTTAATTTTTTTTTCTTTCTATAATATCTTTTGTTCATTTGCTTAATTGGCATCTTTTGCTTTTTTAGGACCCCTATGTTTCACTGGGAAAAAAAAAAGAATTCCTTTTTTTTTTAAAGAAGTTAAAGAAAAATTTATACTTTGGTTCTAGAAAAAAAAAATTTAAAGTAGAAGGAATTCTATTAAAATCTGAAGTTTCTGTTAAAGTTCTATTGAATAACATCTTGTTGATTAATGTTTCCCATTTCTTTACAGTATTTTTCAACTTGTTGACTTAGAATATTTTTCAATGTAAAATCTTAACTATCTTCAAGTTAAGATTTGGAAATGAATGGTCAGTAGTCATATTCTATAAAACACAAATTTTATATTTTGATATGCCTGGAATTTATATTTTAGTGTGTTTTATTCAATGACTGTTTAGTTTAGTTCCTGTTTTGTCAATTTGGTCATTTCAAACCATTCACTGATTTTATTTAAAAATTGTTAACTCTTCCCTCCTATATTACTGAACGTGTTATCATAGTATAAGCATGATTCTTTTTTTTCTTTGTGGTGCATGATTACTTATTTTAAAAAAATAAAATTTAAATCTTTTTTGTTACATTGAATGAAAATAAGGTGCCTAAGGTTGTCTATTCCTAAATGTTAAACTAAAGACAAATTATGCAGTTGCTCTCTTAAGAGCAATTATGTGTTAATAGCTTTAAAATTTTATACATTTTTTGTAAAGTTAATGTATGAGAGATAATATTTTATTTTGAGAACTGTAATGCACTCTAAATAAAATTGCTTTTTCTGTAATTATATGTTTAANTTAAAATTTTTTGTGCACTATATGTAGTGTGTAATATTACCTATGTCTACCAACTATAAATTTATCTTGAAAAAATAAATGGTGCCCGCAATTCGACCAATATTCTGATATTTGCTCTTAGATACAAAAAGGTTGGGGACTACTGTGTTAATGCATAGTTTGTGCGTGTGTTAACATTAAAAGAAGTCAACTTTTGGTAGTATTACCTTTTCTTTTATTTCCATCCCCATAATTAGCAATAGTATTTTGAAAATTGAATGCCTAAAAAAATTATTTCTGTTTAGGCTTTCTCTAGATGACCCGAATGCTGGATTTGAGAGGGATGGCTTTGGGAGGCAAAGCATGTCTGAGAAGAGACATGCCCAGCTGGATGCCAAAAACACTGATACTTACCAACGCAATAAGAAGGCACGTGAAGAGAAGAAGCACTACCTTGAAGATGATCAGAGCAACCCCATCACCGGAAGTGGTAAGGAAATGACACCCATTGCCTTACATGACTTTTTTATTTATATTATTCATTTTATAAATACATGGTTAAATATTTTAAATGTCGTCATGAAAAATAAAATTATGAATGAAGCGTTTTAGGGTTCGATTCAGATTTAATGTTTTTGTTATTCATTCAGATTCTATCTTAATTCATCGTAACCATCAGACAGCAGAAGCCCTTGGTCCCTCTCTAGGCCTTCGAAAATCAAGCAGTTTAGAGAGTCTGCAGACGATGATACAAGAGCTGAACAAAGACGACGAGGTGATGAAGAGAGCCCTTGAGTCTGGGGGAGCCAGGAGTTCTCGAAGCAGAGGATGCAACGAGAGCTTTCGAGCTGCCGTGGACAGATCCTATGATGCCCCTGCTGCATCCACCATGGACACATGTAAGAATTGTTATCATTTAATCACCGTAAATTATAGCTGTAAAACATATATTATTGATTTTTTTTGAGCAACATATAGATGCGATTTTACCAAAGAAGAAAACTTTTATTTAAAAAAAAAAATTCTTTTTAATAAATATGTCAGTATTTTTCTTGTATTGTATTTACATAGCTACCGATTGCTCTGATTAAAATAGTATTTATTCCGATTTTTTAACCTTGTTCTGAAAATGCAATTTTAGGTCAAAAAGTTTTGATTTTAGCATTTTTACTGTGCTGAATTTCTTTCAACCCTCAGTGACGAGCGACCAGGAAATTCAAAGTAAGGTAAAACAACGTTTAAGAGCACAAAAAATATTTTTTGTGCTCTTAAACGTTGTTTTACCTTACTTTGTATTTCTGCACAAAGGTCACCCTTATGTGTATTTATGACCAGGAAATTGACGAAAAGTCAAGACTACGTAATTATTGTTTTATAGAAAGAGAAAATTATTTTTGGAAAGGTCTGGGAATATTCCAGAATTCATTCACTGGTTAGGGTAAAATTATAAAAGCACTCTACACTTTCATTTAAACACAAATGTATTCTCTCCCTCTTTCAGATTGTGTACCTATTGTTTGTTCCACTCCACTAACCTTAGTTGGTTAATGGAAAACAGGTCTTTGTCAATCATCTACTCACATAGGCAGTATTCTTTTCTTTTACAATTCCATAAATCCATTATTTTTTTCATGTTAATATAAAAGTAAAAATTTAGCTTAAGCAAGGTCTCTTTTCCTTATCTATGATTCATATTCTCATAATTTGAAATGTACACATCGCAATTCGTTTTTGTACAACTTAAAATTACACACGATTCTTATTCTTTGCCATTATAAAATCAAACATCGCAAATACGTGAGTAATATTGTTTATATGAAATTTTGAAAGGAATATATTGATTTTTTCTACTGGTGAATCAATGTTAGGATGTATGACAATACGTATATATGTGATGTGTTGGATTTTCCTGTTAATATCTACCATTTGTTCAAAATGCTTATTGTGTTATGTGTTCTTATTTACGTTTTTTGCAAGCAGCTATTTATTTGCAACCAAAATTCACGTTGTAGAACTTACAAAAATCTAGGTAGTTCAGATCTATGTACTATAAACAAATCATTATCCAGTAACGATTAGTGTGTGCTCTGCATAAATATTATTACTCTTTAAATATTTAAAGACGACAAAGAATGATTGGAAGGAGACTGTGTCTTCGTAAATCTACTCTATATGCCAAACTGTTATACATCAGAAGTTTGAATTTATCAAAAATTAAGAATTTGTGTTTGATATCAACAATTATTTGAAACCTTCATTTATGTTTTGTATTTGTAACATTTGTCTTCCATCACAGTGGATGAAGAAAGTGAGAGTGGCAGCTCTGTCGGTCACTTGTTGACGAGGAGCACTGAATTCCCGAATGCTCACCAAAACATGGATGCTCTGCATGACGACCTACTCAGCATGTACTGCAGGAACAGCAAGTCATCCAAGAAGAAAAGCCTTCTCAAGGGTCTTGGATCTGTTTTCAAGTGAGTCTGTGTCTCTTGCAATCTGCTTATTCTTAACGCCCCATCCATTATTGGACTTCATTCATTCAAAATTGCCATCATCAATTAATTCATCAGAAACAATACATCAGTTGCCTGTCGAGGTGAAATTCAATTTTTCCTGTTAAATCAACCCTATTTCCCTCTAACAAAGGGAAAGCATACAGAGGAGATTGGGGGAGTTTTCCAGGTATCATTTATAATAACATAACAAAACTTTTTATGAAAAATAATCTTGGATATTAAATTTTCTAAAGAAAAAGTCTAGTTTTTCTGACCTAATTGTATTTAAACTTAACACATTTGAACAAATATTTTAAAAAAAAGAAACATACAAATTTGCAGAAATAAATAGCATAAATCATTATTATAACCAATAAACAAAACCAACAAAAATTCTCAACTTTCATGGTTTCACGACTTTAAAATATTTCAGCTTTAAGCAATTAAATTTAAAATCAAAAATACAAAAAAAAAAACTAATTTCACACTTTTGAAATATGTCTATTTAATAACAAAAATATTGAATTGCTCTTTACATGTTTAAATATGAAAATTTACATTAACATGACATTTTATAAATGGAACATTCGCTTGGCACTTGTCCAGGCCAGTCTCTAATCTAGTGAAAATAAATTCATCTAATCATTTTTTTCTTCTTTTAAGACATACTTTAAATTAATATACTCAGAAAGTTAAAAACAACAAAATACTTAGTATTTTGTTGTTTTTAACTTTCTGTTGTTTTAAACGTTTAAAGGTTCATAATTTTGAAAAATATTAATTATGTCAATGTTAAAAATATAATCAAATAAGAATCAATTTTATATTTATTTCAAAAATAAAAATTACTTTAAGACCCTGTTATACTGCTCATGCTTTTGGTAAATAACTGGCAAAAATATGGGATCAGCTCTTGTTTTATAGTGATTGCCAGCCCTTTTTTTTTTCTTTCTAGAAAAATTTATTTTGCTAAGAAGTGGAAATATTGCTAATTTTTCTTGTCTGTTATTGGTTAGTAGGCTTTCAAAGTGACTTTTCTTGAAAGAACTTATAAGAAACGTAATTTTCCTCACTACACCTGTACACGAAACTCTTTCTTTTTAGGGGTCGTAGATGAAACTTTGTCTGACAGAAATACAATATACAGAATGTTTTACAATCAGCTACATGCATTAGTAGCCTTTCTGGTCTCTCTGCAGTATTACAATTCAAACTAAGCACTAATACAGTTTCAAACTATTATTAAAAATTAAAATTTAATTAATTAAAGATTTAATTTAGAAAAATGTTCTTTCTTCCCCCTTTCTGCAGATGGAGCAGTTATTAAATGTGTAAAGTGTGCTGCAATCAAAAAAATTCAGGAACCTATTAATTATTGTTCTAATGCCATACTAGAATAAAGAGGGTGGCAAAATTTGTGCACTATAGTTATTCTGTGTCTTCAATTATTCTTCATTACTCAATTGAAGATAAATAATGCTTTTCATCACCCTAAAAATATTATAAATGAATGTTCAAAATCTATTCTTCTGAAGTATTGCTCATAGTTTCAAAAGTAGAAAGTCAAATTTTTAGGGGGTGGGAATTTTTTACAGATTCTAAAAGAGTATATGGCATGTTGTATTTGCTTGCCATACTTTTAAAATTAACATTCGACAGATTGGATGCATGATTCTATATTTCTTGATGATCTTTAAAAAAAATCCACTTCTTATACACATATTTTGTTGTTGTATTGAAGGTTTGGTAAGCATCGTAAGCATTCTCAAGATCTGAAAGGTAAAGGGGATGATGATTCTGGCCATGAAGACTACTATCATCATCAGCCTTCTTCTAAAGAAACAGACCCCAGGTATATTATCCCAACGTATTGTTATTGTGTTTTTCTTTTTCTTTAAGGTGTCTAAAGGATTTTCCCTTTAACAATTTTTTGAAATATATGTTAACTGGCACTAGGTATAAGATGAAACTCAACAAAAATACTTATAAAAAATGACAAACTCAATTTCTAAATTGAAATCGTCTGCAGACTTATGTATTTTATTTAATATTATTTATTCAAAATTTTCTCTGTGAATCTGTTTTTCTCAATTCAGAATTTGGTAATTGATTTGAGTATAGTGTGTTGCTTAAATTCATNTACGCGTCCCGCGGGACGCGTAGCGATCATTTTTTTGCGTCCGATTTCAATTTTTTGTGTATTTTACGCGCTATAGCGCGTAAATGTCTTCCATGACTATTTTATATTTGTTTGGTCTAAAGAAATCTTTTATTTATGTATAACAATGTAATTTTTTTTTCTACAATTTAAAAAAATACTTTTACTTTTCAATTTTTTGATCTATTATGGTTAAAGCAGAATATTTTTGCATGCTAAAGCTTATTTCAATCAATAATTTATTTTTTTGGACTTGTATCATGCCCATAAGATGTCATAGTATCTCTCTTTTTTTTCTTTCTTTATTTATTTATTTATTTTTTTTATTATTAACTCCAAAGAAAATTAAATTATAAAAGTTCTTTGCATTGTTTCGCTAAAGTATCTGCATTAAAATAATATCTGTGCTTGTGATAAAATCCTGTCCTAAGTTAAATCAATTGTTGATAAGTTATAGAATGTTAAGAAAAAATTTCATAAATGCTTTCTTGAAGAAGTCAAAACCATCTAAAGCCCCTAACACACATGCTAGTACAGAACTAAATTTTTCCTTAAATTGATTGACACTGTATTGCTTTTTCATTCACTTACCTCTCTCTCTCTCTCTTTCTTTCTCTCTCTTTCTTTCTCTCTCTTTCTTTCTCTCTCTCTCTTTCTTTCTTTCTCTCTCTGTCTCTCTCTAACAAAAAGAAATTTCTTGTGTATGTGAGATATGTATTTAATTTTTTTAAATAATATCCAGGAAAAAAAATTCAGTCTCTGTCGTTTATTGCCTGGTTGAAGGAAATCCTGATTGCAGCGAGGAAATTTTTAGAAAAATTTATCGTAGGATGTTAGTCAAAAAATTTATTGCTGTTTCCCTAACCCACCTATCAACGTCTGATGGAATTTATTGAATCCGAAAAAAGGCCAAATGCTCTCTTTGTGGTACTTAACCTAACATTGCTTTCTAGATTAAGGAATTGAAGCAAACTATCTTATCAAGTGATAATTTTCTGTCCATTTGACACTGTTTAAGTGAGCAAAATGTTCATTAAACAATAAAATCTTGATAAAATCAGATTAGAAAAAAAATATTTAATAATTATCATTGGTAATAATTTTGATATTGAAAAGCAATGTAAAAACTTATGACTTTGTGACAAAATTAATCCTTTCTTATTAATTTAAAATTAATAAGAACAAAAATCAGAAGCAAGGTTAACCATCAATTTGTATAGTGTATATCAGAAAATGCCTGTTAACTTAAGAATGCAAAATATGCAATAAAACTTTCAATTAAAAATACTTGTAATTGTAATCTTTGTTTGATCCTTCTAACTTTGTGTTTCCTCCTCAGAGTGACAGAGATGAGTCGAGAGGACCTCCTGAAAAGGCAGTTACCCCAAATTCCCAGTAGTAGTAGTGACTCTGGAGGAATGCCCAATCGTCAGGAGAGAATGCAAAGCCTGAGAGAGCAGCACCAGCGCATGCACCAAAAGAGGCAGGGGCAGTATCCATTGGAGCAGAAGGAAGAATACTATGAGAATGAGCTGAAAGAAAAAGAAGGCAACTATGTAGGTCACCGTTTATTATTTTGCATTCTTATGTCCTTATTAATAAAATTATGACCTATACATTATATAGCTTTGAATTTTGCTGTTGTAAGTTTTAAAGTAACCAACACAAGTCTAACCATGTAATATTATGTTAATATAAATTAAATATAAAGGTAATTTTTAAAAAATTATAAATCTTTTTATTTAATAATATTATTTATCTATATTAAAAAATCGTAGGGGCTAACGCCACAATTTTGGATGTTCAACTTAACGCTACATTGCACTATGCTGTGTAGAAAAGTACAGGAATTTTTATAGAATAAAATTATTAGCATTCAATAATTTGTTTGAGAATTATTGACTGTTAAACTTGTTGAAAAAAATACCAGACTGGCCACCTTTGTTTATGAACTTAAGTCAAGAGTTTGTTTTTCTTCCTTTTTTTCAAAATTCCAATTTATTTGGAAGTTATTGTAATGTTGAGAACTTTTTTCTTACTTTTTTTTCGCTTTATATCATATTTTGCTTTGCTCAAAATCTATAAGACTTAGAAACTTGAAATTATGATGTTGTGTAGAAAAAAAGAGTACAAGAAGTTTTTTAAAAATGACAATTCTAATGTTAGCTCAAGAATTATTAACTGTTAAACTTGTAGTAAAAAATAAATAAATAAAAACTTGCTTGTTGAACGAGTGTCTAAAATGCAACTACGGAGTTGAAATTTAATATGCTGATATGACCATTTTGTAATATAGTTTTCAAAATTTCCATTTGTTTGAAAGTTGTTGCAATATGTGATTTTTGTGATTTTTTTCAGCATTTTTGCTTTAAATATTACCTATTTATCTATTGTTAAAGAAAATTAATTTTTCCCTCATGTGGACTTCATTTTATAAACTTGCACTTGATTTGATGTGTAGCAAAAATAGCAACAACAAAAAAAGAGAGAGAGATTGCGCATTGCCAGATATAAATTTCAGATTATTATTTTTCAAATCCAGGTAATTGTCCATGTTATGTTTAACATGTTAACAAAAATGTTCTGTGTTTATATGGATAATATAGACATTTGATAAGAAATAAACTATAATAAATGAGAATCAATTACACGGGTTGTCAAGCAAAGCCTCATAGTAATTTTAAAAATTGGAATATTATTCAGATTTTTGTTTCGATTATTTGAAGATGAGGGTGACTGGCATAATTATTTAAGTGTTATAATAAGTGAATACACATGGATTGATGGTGTCTTCAAAATGGCCACTGGATGATTTCAGTTGAGGTTAAAAGTATATACAGTTTCCTTTCATGTTTTGTAGGCTCTTCCTTTTGAAGTCATTCATGGGAGATCTCACAGCCTAGATATTCATCTGGAAAATCCTCAGTAAGTTATCATTGTTATTTCAAATACAATATTTGAAAATCACATACATAAATGATTTGTTTAATGTTTTGCTATCTTCAGACCATATTGTGAACGAAATCTGCACTATGGAAACTCGGCTGAGTTATTTATTTTACTAGGAGATAAATGTACTTTTGACTGCTGATCCCTAACTGAGTTCTGGGGTACTAAATTCCGTCCTCTATGTTTGACGAGGGGGTGGGACTTGGAAGGGTTAAATAATTATTTCAGTTAAAATATATAATTCAGTGAGATTAATTTTATGGGAACGCCTTGACAATGGAGATAACAAAGTGAATTTTAAAGTAATTTAAAAACAGGGGGGGAAATTTAATAGCTGGAAAGAAAATTTCAACAATAACATTTGTTTAATTGTGCTTAAATTGTGAGTGTGATTTTATTAGTCTAATAATTAAAAGTTTAAAATGAATTTAGTTCATTATGGATTAGCCAAAATGAAATTAGTTTCTAAATTGTTTAAAAAATATATATCAGCCTGCTATTTTATTTTTAATTTATGTTAAACCTAGATTGTTTGATTAATAGTTTTTGCATTTATATGCTATATTCTGTAATATGTCATCTAAATCTAAAAGTGCTGAACAACTGACATAATTTTGTGGTCACCAAACTGAAAATTATATAAACTGCTAAATTCATCAGAATTAAGCTTTTGAATAGTTCAACTTAAAATAGTTTCTACTCCTATGTATTTAAGAATAAATATGCAGGGAAGAAACACAGTATATCTGCCCTTATATTATTTTATATTGTTCCTCAAATAACATATTTATTTAGGATAAACACTATTTAACTATTTTAAGAACTAAATTAATTGATACAAAATTAAATGTTGAAAAAGTTAAATGTCCAAAAGCGTACGATGTTTAAATAGTATAAAATTATTAATTTCTTATATTACTAATTCTGTTTTTGTTCAATAACCAACTACAGTAAGTCCGTTATAACGTCTCATTAATGAATGAAATTGTTGTAATTGGCAAATACGCATATTTAATGCTAAAATGTCTTTCATGTGCGGCAGGATTTCCAAAATCAACAGGAGGAAAGAAGTAAGTTTTTTAGAAGGACAATAACAAAGCCAGTAGTCACCAACATGTTTACATTATAAACATTGGAGTTAAAGATTGTAAAATGAAAACAAAATATTGTTAGTTTTTCACTTTTGGAAATAGACATGAAAAATAAATAGAAATGTTTTTATTTATTTCTATTTTGTGTAATATTGTTCTCTTAATCAGAAAAATATATTTCCCTAAAAAAATTTGTCTTCATAGCAAAAGGCCAGTAAATTTTAACTCGATATATTCATTCTAATTTTAATTTGTCATAATCCTTTTTATATATTAGAATATATTTTTTGGCATTTTGAGAGAGACTTAAAGACTTAGTAATTGTGGACTTTTATGTCGTACTTGTTTATATTGAGCTTTCGTTTTAATTTATTGTAAAGGAATCATAACTCCGCATTCTGTAACAATAAAAAATTAGGAATACCAGGAAAAAAAGTTGAAAAAGGGAAATCAGTACAGAATCTTTTATATTAAGAATCAGAGGACAATTTTGACCACTCCAAGAATTTTTAGAACACTACTTCTTAAAATGATCATATATTGTAATTCAATTTTATATAAATATTTTCACAATGTTCTAGGTTCTTGTTTCAATTTTCCCTGAAACGTACATTTTTATTTTATATTTTTTTCAAATGGTTCACTGAAATAGCACAAATAATAAGAAAATATGTGTATATATATTTTAAGGTTAAAATTTAAAATATGAAACAACAAATAAAAAATGCTTTTTTGTTACTTAAAAAAATCAAATCATTCATGTCTTTTAAAGTACAAAATTAAATGTTATGTTTTTTTTTTCCAAAAGAAGTTAATTGCAATCATCTACTATATTTAAGATTTTTTATTTTTTTAAAAAAAGACTCATAATTCTGACGTTTTTAAAGTTTAGTATTGTCACCCCAAATGTAATAAATCAATTTATTTGAAGAATTAAGTAATTTTTGTGAAAATATATATCTTAAAACGTAGAAAGAAAATTTCTCTTTAAGTTTTAAAATTACCTACATTTAACTAAGCATAAAACTAACTGCATATAATTGAAATATATTTTATGTCACTGTTATCCACGATATCAATAAAATTAGACTTAATTTATAAATTGATTTTTAAGGCTGTGATGATGTTGTACAAAAATTATTTTCAGCTTAAATCAGGTGATTTGTATCAAGCAGGGTTCTTGCTGTCCTAAAAAAGTGCTAAAATTTTTTCCCAACTTTTTTAGGGCCTAAAAAGTGCTAAAATTTCTTCTAAGTGCTAAAAAAATTTTATTTTAGCGTTTTGAAAATTTTTTTGAGCGGTCGAATTCCTTAAAACGGTTTCCCTAAATCCCTAAATTCTGTTGCCTTCGGCTCTTCTGCTGCCTCCATCTTTTTAGAAGATTCTTGGGCTTTGGGGAAAGAAGTTCTTTCTTCTGAGATTTTATGGGCTTTAAAAGTTGTAGAAAGCTACTACTCCTACAATTCTTCCAAAGACACTGGAAAATTATTTAGTACAATGTTTCCAGAAAGTTCAATAGCACGTCATTTCGCCTGCAGTGAATCTAAGTGTGCATATCTCTGTCATTTTGGACTTGCACCTCATTTTAGCATGCATGAGTGCATTGATAATGCCAAGTTTTATACATTGCTTTTTGATGAGTCTTTGAACAAAGCGACACAGCAGAAGCAGTTGGATATACATATCCACTTTTGGAACCCAGATAAGAACATTGTAGAGACGCGATACTTAACATCAGCTTTTCTGGGCCATTTTGCAGCAGATGACCTTTTAGCCTGCTTTTATTCATCAGTCAAAAATGTAGACCTGAAGAAATTATTGCAGATTTCTATGGACGGTCCTGCTGTCAATTGGAAGTTTTATAATAATATTCAAGAAGATTTGTTAAAAGAACATGGTGTTCAATGCAATGCAATAGGAAGTTGTGGGCTTCATATTTTAAATAATGCATTCTACAAAGGTGAATCTGAAACAGAATGGCTCATTGGTTCCATCCTGAGCTCAATCTTCTATCTTTTTAAAGATTCACCCACAAGAAAAGAAGATTTTATTAATCAGTCAACTGAGAACAAATTACCACTAAGATTTTGTAACCACCGTTGGCTGGAAAATGCACCTGCAGCTGAAAGAGCAATATTGCTTTGGAATGATCTGAAATCTTATGTGAAAAATGTTGGCAAGTTTAGAAAAGTGAAATGTAAATCCTTTTTAACTTTACAAGAAGCAATAAAAGACAAATTAATTCTTGTTAAGCTGAACTTTTTCTTAAATGTGTCGGAGCTAGTTTCACCATTTTTGAAACTGTATCAAGCAGATCGGCCACTTTTACCATTTTTTGCTGTGGATATCCAGGATTTGGTATTACATAGTGTGCAATTATATAACATTCTGAAGCCAGAATCTATAGAAAACTTAAATTCTCTGGAGAAACTGTGCCATTTTAATTTTTGTGATGAAAAGAATTATGTCTCTCTGACAAAAATCAGTGTAGGTTTTAAAGGTGACCAAATTTTAAAGCAGCTGTTGGCCACAAAAGTTATTTCTGACCGAGATCATATGAATATAAAGAAAGATTGCAGAAAGTTTATCACCAAAGTGTCAGAAACTTTACTGGAGAAATGTCCAATAAACTATTCTGTTGTAAGAAATGTTGCTTGCATCAATCCAAAGTTAATGTCAGAAAACAAAAGCAAGTGTGTTCTAAAAATGAGAAACATATTAAATTACTTAAGTCAAGAAAAGAAAATTGAGGAAAAAGATTGTGACAAAATTAAGCCGCAATTTGCATCATGTATAGATTAATTATGTAATTTTTACTTCATGAATCGTTAAACACTTTATTTGTACATTTTTAATATCATGTATAGATTAAGTATGTTATTTTTACTTTACATCAAGTGCTAGTTTTTTTTTCTTAGTCCTAAAAAAGTCCTAATTTTTTTTTTTTTTTTTGAAATAATTGAGCAAGAACCCTGTCAAGTGATTTATGCCAACATGCCTATCACTTTACACATGCCTAATTAAATTACTATTGTTAGCTCGATAAATGTTACAGAATTTTCTTAAATGTTCTTTATTAATGCTTAACTCTTATATCTTTTTGCAGATATTAATCTTTTTTTAAATAAACCATTTTCAGAAATCACTCTAAAGGTGGTGCTGCATTCAGTGATACCAACCGCTACAGTCATTATATGAATTATAAAGAAATTCAGCAGCACATCTCACTGAGGGGGCATCCTGCCGCCACCAAGGCTGCTTCCGTGCCAGACTCCAAGCCCCATGGAACCCCACTGCCAGAACTTCCGACAAACTTTTACGATTATTCTGGACACCAACTCAGAAGAACGGGTCAGACTCCAGAGCTCTGCTCAAATTCACTACCTCGAGGCACACGTGGCTCTGACCGCTCCCTTCCCCATTCTCAAGCTCTGACTGCTAAACCATACTTTTTGCAAGAGACACACGATCACGATAATTATGGGCGTATGAACATGCATCATCCCTTCTACCCTAACAACAATAAACTCTATTCTCATATAGTGCCTGGCTCTAAAGTTTGATGAGTCATTTTGCTCATTTGTTTTTCTGTCTTCAGATAAGAGTTCCATTTTACTTAATCCAACTTATCTGTGAGTTTCTAGCCGTCCATATTAACAAAATCCTATATTTATACACTCACCTCTGGTCACTTTCCTCAACGCTGTTTGTATTTTTTTACTCAAAAACAAAACAGCAGTTTTAGCAGTGAAAAATGAATGCCAAATTATGAAAGTGAATTCGTTTGGTTTTGGGAGAAAAATAACGTAATAAAATATTTAATTAAAGACAACAAAAAAGGTGATTCAGTGTTTTCTCTAGAAAATTATAGTTATTTACCTGGAAGAGAAACTGTGTCAACGAGAAGTGAAAAGAGTGGCATTTTCAAAAAATACAGCTTTTTAAATAATTGAAAAATGTTTAAAAAAACTAATGCTACTAAATTTTTCTAGGTAATTATATTTCTAAAAATAATTATCTTGTTGCCTTTTACTCAGCATGTGAGTCCTTATTAAATATTTAAAAAAATAGCACCAAGTTGTTCCTTTTGGCGTCATATTATGAAAAAGTGGCTGAGGAGGACCATTCTATCAGAAAAAGTATTTTAGTGCTGCTACAAAAAAAAAGAAAAGTGTTTAAATAGAAAACTCATTTGAGCTTCCATCATTATGCTCTGATAGAAAAATCTTTGTTTTATAATGTGTGTTTAGCGTCTGTTAATCCGTGAATTTTTATGATTGTTGTTTGTTTTACTAATTCTGTAAATATGATTTTAAATAATTAAACCTCATTTAGATAGTTAATGTTTTTTTAAAGTGCAACTTTTAAATTGCATTTCTTTTGTAATTCAAATTTTATCTGGATGTTTGATTTTTCATGTGTTTTAACTGATATTATTATCCTTCATGTTAGAAATTTTTTTTAAAGTGTTTTAATGCATTCCAAAATGTCATATCCATGAAGATGCATTCCATCTTTTGTTTTTAAAAAAATTCTCTTTTGAATTTTTTCAGTCAATTTTTAAAGGTGAAAAGAAATAGTATTATATTCACAACCTTAACAAATTTTCATAATTATTCTCTTTTTATTTTTCTTTGCCTGCCACTTAATAACATATTTAGAATTTCAAATAGAGTTTATTTAAATTTTCATGTGACTAGTTTCTTTTGAATTAATTACTTTCTATTTTGATTTTAAAAATTCACTTATTAGAGTTTTTGAAAGTCGTAATGATATTTCAACACTTGAAATCTATTTCAATGTGTGTATTTAACTTATTTGCTTGTGTCATTTAAAATCAAAGAACATTTCAAACCCTTAAGTTGAAATGTCTAAACCGAAGCTATTGTTAAAAGGTGTAGACTTTATCAAAACTAGTCATTTCAAACAAATGCTCATACAGAGGCCTAAATTCTATTAATGTTTAAAATTATTGTTTCCTTTTTTTTTTAATATTTTTTTTTCTTTCCATTTTTACAGTATTCTTGTATGATTTGTAATTTTCTTTTTATGATAACGATGTGCTGTTTATGACTTGAAACATCTGTGATATTTTAATTTTCTGTAATCCCTCCCTCCCTGTATTGTCCTTTAAAATCTCACCTTTACGAATGTATTAAGATGTGTACAAATGTCTTTAGAATTATGTTTGATGAATCGTTTGCAGCTATTCAGCCACCTTTTTTTTTTTTTTTTTATTTTTTTTTATTTAATTNTTTTTTTTTTTTTTTTTAATCTTCTTTCTAAATTTAAATGCTATAATGTGCATCCTTAAAAGTATATATGAATATGAGCTTGTTTTTAATTCTGAACTTCCATGCAGATACTTGAAGTCCCTTACACAATAGTTTATGGCCATTGTATTGTGGGTTGTACACGTTTAGACATCTCATAAGTATTCTAATTAGACATCTTTGAAGAAGAATGAATCTCTTCCTAAAATATTTTGATCAATAATACAATTTATATATCTTAATTAATAAAATATAATAATTATTTTAATTAATAAAATTTAATTGATATTGTGTAGGCTACTTTTTAAAAGCAGCCCCTTCTATAAAATGCTGTGTACAATTGATTATCACCAAGGCTCCTCTATGTTGCACGTGAGTTATAAAAAAATGCTAGATAGCCAGTGCACAATGGAATTTCTTTAAAATTAGGTCATTTTTAATCGACGCACTGCAGATCCAATTTACAGATGGTAAAATATATACAGTGTTCGTCATTGTGTAAGAAAAACTGGCCTGCATTGTCATCTGCTATAGTTTTGTAACCAAAATTTCAGTCAGCGCAATAGACCTGATAAATCATATTTTTTAATTAAGTGAAGTTTAAATTGGAAAATTATTTTATTTACTTTTTACATGCATAGATTTATGAGAAGTTCATGTTTTTTCTTGTTTTAACTGAATGAAAATAAGTGTTTACTGTTAGAAAAACTGTATCAAAGGTTTTTAGATTATTTCTAAAATATGCTTCTTGTAGTTTTTCACACACACATACTGTAATTTTATTATTCATATTCTATTTAAATATCCATAAATAAGTGTCTAATAACTAGGGAATAGAACTTCTATATTTTAAGAAACTCTGACAGTAATGTCATTTATATTGTGGAGAAAACCACTTAATGCATCTTACATAGATTCAACATGTATTAATTTATCAAAATATAAAGACTTGAACAGTGAAAAGGGGCGTATCTCTTGACTGTGATAGATTTGAAACTAGTATGTCGGTACTTAATTGTTTAATTCATTTTGAGGAATAAAACCAAACTTAATTATCTACATCTTTAATCAATTTCCATTTATAAATATTTTTTTTTCTTCTTGAATTTAACCATAATGATGGAAGTTGTACACATAGTATAAGAGACTTTAAGTGCCTCAAAAATGATCATTATTTTTGTGTACTGATTGTTAATATTTATTCATAAATATATGGAAAGTTATAAAAAAATGATCAACGTGTATATAAAAAAAACATTGTATGTATTATTTTTTATTAATAAATTGTATTCATTCCATTCTTTTTACTAAAATTGTATTTATGTAAATAAAATTATCGAATTTTATTTTTATGTTTGTTTTTTCATTTGATTTCTTATGAGATTTTTTATCACTAAAAGATATATATATTGACCAAGAAAAAAGGCTTATGTCTTCATAAATATTAATGATAAGTTTAAGAAAATCTGTCTGCATGCTGAATGGAAAAAGTAAACATCTTTGTAAAAATTACAAATGGATTCTCACTTTCAAAAAAAAAAAAAATCCTATTTTAATATAGTAAGTAAAGCATTCTTGCTTTTGGACGAGGGAGGTAATGGAGATGAAAGTTCCACAATGGCATGATTGTGGCAATGTGAGTAACATTGGGCCCGAGCCGCTTTTATGTCCTAGACAATCTAGTACCCATCGATATGCAACTGGGTGGGCTTCAAGCCGCCCCTGGCAACATTTTATTAATCCTTTAAATGTGCTCCTAATTGATTCTTCACTTAAAAATATCTGCTAACGTTATGTTCCTTATAAGTGCAGAAAACAAAGGAAATGGTTTGCTTAACTATGTTAAATTGAATAAATGTTTCAGTGGATTGTGCCATCAGGAAGTACTCTAGTTATAAATTTAGGCTGAACGCAAGCACCGGCATTAAAAAGAGCCATGTGCCCCTGTAACACGTAGAAGTTCCATGCAACATTGACCACAACTCGGCAGAGGGTCTACCTTTCTGCATGTAAAAATGTCGTGTGTGTCTGGAGACTCCTCAGACAGGGTCATTGAAAATTAAAATGCTGTTGATGTAGGAATTTTATTTTTTTAAATTTTGTAATAGTGTTTCGGTTTTTCTATGCGAAATTTTCAAGTGATTTTTCTTAAATTATTTTTTTTTCTCCATTTAAACGTAAATGTATTGAATGCATTTTGTCTAGCAAAAATTTCACTTTTCATTTTGAAAAGAATATTAACTTTCTGTTCGCCCTTCCTTGCTGGTCAACTCTGTCATTGCATTTCCTATGGGGAGAGATACCCCTCTAATCTCGCCTTTTTTTCTATTTCTCTTCATTTATGTTTTAGGGAACTTACTTAGCCAATCTTAATCGCCCCCGCTTTTCAGAATTTCTTTAATTTTAATTGGTTTTGTATGGTTTTTTACCAATCAACTTGTCACTAGACTTCCTCGCTTGTCTGTTTAGCAATGGAAGGTGTGAAAGTACCAATACAAAAAAATTCGGCTTTGTTTATGAATAACAGTACAAAATTGTACTTAATTTGTTCAAAATTGTTCGTATTGTACATAAAATCCTTATAACTTCTAAATTATTACTCGGATCATCTCAGGATTGGTCTTGTACAATTTAGTATGGAAAATTTACAGTACGTGTTCAAATAAATCCTGGATATCAATGTTATCTGTTTACATAAATATGTGTCAAAAAAGTACTATTTATACATAAAAACTCTTGCAACATTTGAACTAATTGACTCTTGTATGATCTCATTTCATTTACCGTAAAAAATACACTAGGAACAACGTCTTACTTGTTTAAAACGCAAAATCAGATACGTAAATAAGTACAAATACACATTTTTACTTTTTAGGGTGTCATTTCTATACACGTGAGAACTCACGGTTCCATCCACTCAAAGAGATACCACCCACACAAAGACGCTGCATGGGTGATATCGAGTTCCAGGCTCTCCTAAATCAAACAGCTCCTACTATATCGCTTTAGAGGCCAAACCTGGACTCATCTGTGAAGAAAACAACCACATGGTGCCCCTCAAACGATCCCCTCTATGGCGCGCAGATGGCTAGCCACCTAGCGAACAAACCACCTTCCTGAAGCCAACGCAGAGTAGAATAAATTCTATTCCGAAAGCTGCACTAAACGAAGATTTGAGCTGACTCGGAATTGCAGTTCTATTCCTTCGTGCACATAAGTATAGATATCGGTCATCGGCGCACGTCTCAGCATTTGGGCGTTCTTAACTGAACCTCCTGAATATCGAACCTGTGGTTAGAAATTGTTGCCAAAGTCTATGAACCACAGGGGGACTCACATTTGGCCACTTCTACCTGACTTTGTCCTGCCTCTAGTCTTTCATCGCAGTTCTTCGGGCAAATGATACCTGGAGGTTGTTTCAAATTGGCTATCTCAAATTTCGAATTTACGAAACAGCGAAATTCGCAGGTTTGCTGTCAAACATTTAATACTATGCTCATTGCAGATGACGTCATTCCTTAGCAGACCCACTAATTTGCATATTGCAGTTTTACTTAGCAACTTTTACTAGACAAGATCTAAAAATTTTCTTGGGATTGGCTTATTTTTGGAAAAGTTATTGATTTTGTTTTTGTAATTTTTCCTTAATAATTGACCAGTGTACTTTTCCCGAAAGAGCCTTCTTTTGTTCAGAGTAAATATCAACATATTAATGAAATATTGTACGAAAATATCAATGTAATAGAAGCGGAGCTTAAAATAGCTGACATAAAAAAATAACGAATATGCATACATTAACTGTGGTGTTATAATTCAAAAATGATCAAACGATTGATTGATAGCCTTTTTTTAAACATAGATTTTATTTGTTCTTTTGTCTATT